CTATGGCAATTTTTTTGATGGGCAACACTTTAGAGTAACACTAATTATATTGCTATAAATTTGGTTGAGGATCAGATTGAATTCAGGAGCAAAAGAGAATAACAAAAACCTTCAAACATTGCAACAAAGAAATACTTTTTCCCCCCTTTAATTAAATGGTCCTTTCCCATAGGCTTCCTTAGACTGGTTTGCAATCTAAGGCCATAAGAAATAAGGCATTGGGCATTCTGAAGAGACTGCAGGTTAGCTGTGGTGCCAGCAGGAGACTGAAACCCTGATCTGACTTAATCTCAGGCATGTTCTGAGAGCAGAGGCAAATTCTCAATGTTTCTTGCGTGCTTGCCGCTGAACCAGTTATATTTCCCCTTCTCTGGCTAATTCAGTGCAGTAACAATCCAGCCACTACTTTTCCTGGTTCTGTGGAGGGAACCTGACAGGAATGTGTGGCTTCTGACTGGAGAGGCAGCGGACTAGCTTTGACCCATCTCCTCCCGGACAGTAGGGAGTTGCTGAGGAAGGCCTCTTCGGGCAACCGAGAGGCCCTGTGTCCTGGGACAAACACTGCTTACTTACCCTTGGGAAATGTAGGACCTCTCAGCCTGAAGTTGTGAGCTCTTGAAGGCAACTCCAGTTGGTCTGTCTCCACTGTCCCACACAACTCAGCTTCGTAACTGGGCTTTAGGAAACTTACAATTAGACGTAATCACGAAAAAGGAGTTAACACAGGTTACTTTATATGCCATTCTAAATATCTTTGGGGGTTTTTTCTCTCTCGTTTCCTCTTTACCATTTTTGGAGAGGAAGCCCTTGTTTCCCCTTGACCTTTCCCAATGGTGTGGATTGATTTTGATTGGTCGTTTCCACCAGGAATCAGAGGCCATTGGTGCCGGGTTTCCCAAGGATGAGCTGAGTTTATATTTATTCAGGAATGCAGGGTTTATTCATATGGCTATTGGTTCTCGTTTTGGCTTCTTTGTTTGGTTGATTGGCTTCCTTACATGACAGAGGCTTCTCTAAGAAGGAAACTTGTGCCCAAAGTTGAGGGATGAGGTTATGGCTGCAGCTGTTGATGCTAGAGAATATCCCAGATGTCCATTCAGAAGTTGAACATTTGCCATGCGAACTGCCCCTGCCCAGTTTGGCAAAGGCAGACTAATTAGTGGAGAAAATTGCTGCCATGGGAATTTCTTATATCCAGAGAGCATACGACTGTTTTTTTCCTAAATCAGGTTCAAGTTTAGAGTGCAGTTTGTTTTTCTCTCAAGTGCTTTGTGTTAAAGTTAAATGCTTCAAGGTGATTTTAATTCATCCAACTTAATAACAACCATTGATGAAGTGTGACTGTATGCCAGGCACTGTACTAGACCCCAGAGACACCCACAGAGGTTGGTAAAGCTGTCCTTGTCCCCAAGGTGCTCATGGTCTCGTTAAGGGACAAAGAAGTGAGTAAGGCACAATAGTAGAGACCACCATGGATTTATGGATGGATGTCTACTTTAGCTGGACTGAGGTGGGGGAAACAGCAAAGTCTTAGGAGGTTACATGGAAGGCAGAGGAATGGAGAGAGACTGGAGGTAAGAAGCAGCATGTTCTGTACAGTAAGCTCTAAACAAGTTACTGTGAAGTGGATAAGAGGGTCCCGTTATGTGAGTTGAATTGAGATCTCCAAATGTGCTGCTTAAATCTTCTTCTGTAAAGCACACACTTCATACATTCTGAGATTTAAAAATTCATAGAGTGATTTCTAAAAAATTTTTCCATTATTAAAGTAACAATGCTTATTACACAAAATTAATAACAATATAAAGTGTTAAGAAGAGTCACCCCTCCCACATTTAGTGGGTAAAAACTGTCTCTGACAATCTGTACTGTACTGTTGTCAGAGTTTCAATTTATTGTTATTTTTTCATTAAATCTTCAGCCTGAAACCAATGTGACCATTCTTACAGAATATGATTGCAAATTATTGACAATTGGCAATGTCATTTTAAATAACTTTTAAAAGTTTATTAATTTCACAGATACATATCTAGCATTAAACTATGTGCAAGGTACTACATTAGATGTTCCCTGAGTTCTTTCTACAAAGGGATCAAATGCCCAGTTTTAAGTGCGTGGTTACAATTCCTTGTTTAATTGGGGCTGCTGGGGGGCTGAGTTGATTAAATGTTGACTCTTGATTTGGGCTTAGGTCATGATCTCACAGTTCAGTTTGTGGGATCGAACCCTGCATTGGGCTCCATGCTGACAGTATGGAGCCTGCTTGGGATTCTCTCTCTTCCTCTGTCTCTGACCCTCTCCCACTCACGTGCATGTGCACACATTCTCTAAATAAATAAGTAAATAAATAAAGAAACAAACAAACTTGAAAAAAAAAAAACCCACGGTTTCTTGTTTAATCAAGGGGAAATCTTGGCAAGCCAGATACTGCCTAGAAAAGAACAGTCAAGATGCGCTTAGCCTATCAGGCGTTAATTAACAATGAGCAGTGTAACAATTAGTGTCAACACTAGGACTTTTAAAACAAGAATGTCATGGAGTACCTGAGTGGCTCAATCTGTTAAGTATCTGACTATTGATTTCGACTCAGGTCATGATCTTGTGGTTCATGAGCTTAAGCCCCCATTTGGGCTCTGCACTGACAGTGTGGAGAATGCTTGGGATTGTCTGTCTGCTCCCCCCACCGCCCCCACCTCTTTCTCTTTCAAAAATAAAAAAGCATTTAAAAATAATAATACAATAAAATAAGAATGTCGCACCAAGCCACTGCTTATGAATTATACTGAAAAGTTCAATGACTGGCTGAAAGTTGTTAAACGAACATAGATGTTGGCAGTTAACTTAAGGGTGAAGTTCCACAACTCGCATATTTTTAACTGGAGGCTTAGTTATAGACTCAAAATGAGCTTGCAGATTATGCTTTCATTTATTCGTTTAATTGCTAAATACTTACTCAGTGCTACATACCACATTTGTGACAGGCCCAGCGATGGTCCTCACTCTTACAAAGCTAACATTCTGTTGGCATCCAAATAAGCATGAGAGAAAGTTGAAGGCATTATTCTCTCCATGGCTCTTTGAGATCTGTGAAGCCAGGGCCGTTGGTGGGCCCGCTATGTTTTAGTAGATATAAAGTGCTAATAAGCCAACATTACAATAAACATGAATTGGGTACCCATTTTGTTAGCATTGCCAGAGGATGGGAATTAGCGTAATTTCCAGAGAACTGTACCCCTTTTCTTTCCCCATCTTCAAAACCATCTAATCAGATCATAAATATGGTGAGGAGGTTAGATTGGATCTCTCTTCCCAAATTTCTTTTATCACTTGAGGCAATATGATAACAACAAATGTTGCAAAAAAAAAAAAAAAAAAACAAAAAACCACCCCTGTCTAAGCTAATGCTGCTTACTACCTGACTTGTTTTGTTTTGTTTTTTAATGTCTGACAGGCTCTTCCTACCTATTTTTGATCTGTTAGTACTATGAACTAAAAGGCTTACACAGAATTCATTGAAGGAATTCAGATAATCCCAGGATTTCAGTGATCATACAAAACCTCTACACACCAAAGCACTTGTAGTGTTTGGCACGCAGAAGTGAATTTTATAAATAATAAAAACTGGCCAAAAGAAATAACTATGGAAAATCTCCATTTTATTGTTTCCCCTGTGGCTTCATTAGCCAATAGACGTGTGTTTGAGGCCCTATAGCTGATCTAATCAGCCCAAGAATGTGGCCCTTTACTTTACTTCTGCAAATATAGCATGCCATGATCCTTACCCAGGGATTCCTTGAATCCGCATAGTGAGTGCAAACATCAATGAATTATACTTTTTTTTAAAAGGAAATATATTCTAAAGCTTATTTTGGTTAATTTCTAAAGAAATTTTGTTTGTAATGGGATTCATTTTTGAAGTGTTTGGCACTTTTGTTTTCTGAGGATTTAAATGGCTCACCATATTTTTAGAACTTGTGTTACATCTCAGTACATACATTCATACGCATACATATACATTCATACACGTGTGTGTTAACAGTTAAAGCTTGTGTCTATTTTGTTAAAGAATGGATATTTTATACTTTTTTAATGTTTATTTATTTTTGAGAGAGAGAGAGAAAGACAGAGCAAGCAGGGGAGGAGCAGAGAGAGAGAGACACAGAATCTGAAGCAGGCTCCAGGCTCTGAGCTGTCAGCACAGAGCCCGAGGCAGGGCTCGAACCCACAAACTGAGATCATGACTTGAGCTGAAGTTGGACACTTAACCAACTGAGCCACCCACATGCCCCTAAGGCTTGGATATTTTACATTCTGAATTCTTTAGAAGAATCTATAATATAGAAACTTCATAACAATAGAACAAGGCAAGGTATGAATTCAGTGAAAAAATCGGGGCACCTGGGTGGCTCAGTCGGTTAAGCGTCCAACTTTGACTCAGGTCATGATCTCACAGTTCCTGAGTTTGAGTCCCGCATCAAGCTCTGTGCTGACAGCTCAGAACCTGGAGCCTGCTTCGATTTCTGTGTCTCCCTCTCTCTCTGACCCTTTCCTACTCATGCCCTGTCTCTCTCCGTCTTTCAAAAAATAAATAAATAAATGTTTAAAAAAATTTTTAAGTAGTCCATTCCACATGATTTAGCTGTACTCTTAATAGTCATTAATCCTAAATTTTGACTTGTTTCCCAAGTGAGCTACATCTAGCAGTATTTAACCTGTAATTCTCATAAGAGAAAGATGAACAATTCTCAGACTTAATAGAAGGAACACTAACTAGGGAGTATTTAAACATCCCGAAAATAATCACAAACTTTTTAGAAATGTAATAATGAGGAATGTGTTCTGAGATACTGCCTCTAAATATACAGTGTGTAGAGTGGGTTGTTGTGAAATTCAGTGTCTTATGGCTTGGTTTGCTATTGTTATATAAGGTGGAGTGGTGAATAGTTTAACATTTTCTAGTTTTGTCCTCAATAAAAACAAACTTCTTTCACATTTTGCAGGTACTCTTTCTCCATTGTTCTCAGTTCTTCTTTGGATAGCAGTTGCAATCTGCACCTCGATGCTGTTTTTCTTCTCCAAGCCTGTGGGTATCCGGCCATTTCTTGTGTCAATAATGCTCAGATCAATATATACAATAGGTCTTGGACCTACATTAATACTCCTTGGTGCAGCTAATGTAAGTACTTTACTTAGCTTTGTCCTGTTTTAAATTAATTAAATGTGAACTAACTGTAAAAATGTAACTATATATTTTAACTCATGTATGCATAGTAACTTCTTATGTATTGTGAATTCAAATTAATGAGAGTTTAATTTTACATTCTTAATTTTGAAGAGAAAAAAGTGACAAGTAAAAAGTTGATACATTTAAGAAGGTGGCGTTTGAGGGAGGCATGACCCAGTTCTGCAATCAGTTTAATCCGATTGAGATTTACTCCTGCATTCTTTTTTTTTTTAATGTTTTATTTATTTCTAGGAGAGAGAAAGAGACAGCATGAGCAGGGGAGGGTCAGAGAGAGAGGGAGTCACAGACTCTGAAACAGGCTCCAGGCTCTGAGCTGGCAGTCAGCACAGAGCCCGACGCGGGGCTCGAACCCACGGACCACGAGATCATGACCTGGGTGAAAGTCGGACGCTTAACCCACTAAGCCACCCGGGCGCCCCTATTCCTTCTGCATTCTATACCCACCCAAAGCTATTGAGAAAAATGATTCTGAGCCACTGTTAACATCCTAAAGTGACTTCTAAATCACTCAGGAAAGGTTAGATTATATTTAGTAGAATTTTAAAAGTAAGTACCTTTTTATAAAATGACCAAAGAAAAAAGGATTGCTATATGAGAAAATATGAAAAATATGAAATTGGGCTCTTTTTAAGTGAACAAACCCTATACATTTGTGAAAGGCATAGATTAAATTAATATCTTTTTCACTAAATTTTAAAATGTTAGAACAAAGGATCATATTTCAAAACCTCAGTTAAGTAGGTTTAGAATAAGTAAGCCAGAGCACTAGTCCAAATAACAATAATTGTACCCAAGAGATAAAATTTTAAAGGGATTAGACAGCTTTCTACATGGCATATCCATAAAGGAATATTAAGAAAAGGGCAAATCCTCAGGTTAATGAAAGAAAAAATGTTCAGTAGGCAAATAAATATTGCTAATATGTCTGCCGAATACCTAAAACACTGTCTATATCTTGTACTGTATTTGTCACATAATGTCCTGTATTTTGGTATCTGCATAAATGCCTTAGTCCCTTACTACATTATACACCTCTTAAGGGTAATGATTGACTATTCAGTATCTTGGAATGCCATTAATACTCAACAAATATTTCTATAATGAATTAACTAACAAGTGAGTGAATGAATGGATGAGTGAAAAGTTATCTTTGTACTCTTATACATTTACAGTGCCTTGTACATAAAATACATGGCAAGTATTTATTGAAAATAAATAAATGAAATAGCCAACGAAACTTTGGAGAATTATCAAGCTGAGCTAGAATGACAAGTCTGTGTTCCTGACCATTATTATATTATACTTCTTTGAAAGTTCAACATGATATATATGACCCAGGTCCCAGTTAGAACATTTAGGCAACCAAATTACCAGTTATTCCTCAATCACTGTCAATAAAGGGAAGCTTACTGTACATGCAAAGAGATCTATCAGTGAAGAATTCTGTCGAGTACCAAATATATGATTCCCGAGTTTCTTGAGGGCAGAGGTTGTCATGTTCATGATATAATCCTGCCCTCTTCACTCCCTCATTCCCAACTCTGTTTTCCTTCCATTTCATGGCTAGTACTTAGACATTCAAAAATTCTTCACTTCAACTGAACTTGTACTTTGAATGTTTTTGAAAATAAGCTAAATTTGCAGTATTACCAACCAAGCTAATTGACAAATCTTCATGGATTTATCTAAAATTTTCTAAATCTATTAGAAAACTGGAGTTAGGGAAGTCCAGGTTATTATTTAAAAAAAATACATTCAGTTTTGAGCCAGATTATTTGAAGAAGCAAATAATATTCATAAACCAGTAGTTGGTCCTCAATAAGACATTAATTCAAGAAAGAGAATCTAAGTGTGATAAGTTGAAATAATAGCTATCAGTGGGGCAAGAAAAAAACAAGCATTTATTGGGCCTCTGTTATCTGATAGACACTGAAAATACCAAGAAGCAGAGGATGTGGTTCTTACCATACAGAAGCTTCAAGAATATATAAAAAGTTAAGGAAAAACATTTTAATGCCTATTGGGGAAACCAAAAAATTTGGAGTTATTTTTCCTTTACCCCTTGGGACCAAGATAAAAAGATATTTTCTGCCTAAGGTTTGGTGAGAATAGTTTCATTGCAGGAAGTGACAATTCATATAAGAGGCACATTTTATACTTAATTTCTTCATGAGAAGAAAATACGCAGAAATATGTCTTTCTTATGAACTGTATGAATCTGTGAGTGCTCTCCTATCTCTCACAGCATAAAAAATCCATTTGCACAGCCCCCAAATGGTACATTGTAATTTGCTAGTTCAGGGCATTTGACAAAGAAAATAATCAGCTTTAATTAGAAACAAAATGGATAAAATAATTGTGATTTTGACAATATAGATATTGATAGAATTTTACCTATAGTTTCGATAGATAGTACAGATTAATAAAATGTTTTAGCAAATAATCATTTACCTTAACTTTTAACATAACAAGCTTCTTACAAAACTATCTGTGCTTTACCATTTCCCTGGAGGCAGGAAAAAAATTCAAACATTAATCAGTCACATTTTGTAATTTAGGCTTTAATATGTTTACTTAATTGGTAATTTTTTTTTAATATGTGCACCCACCCTAAATCAGTCCCATTTGCATTGTATAACAGGTAAAATTAGAAGTGCTAAAATTATAGGTATCAGAAGTAGGGAAAAACAAAAGAAAATATCTACCTGATAGTTACACTGTAATGAGAATCAGAATTCTAGACCATAGGCAGATCAAGCCTCTGAGTTTAATTCTGCACATCAGTGAAATGAATACATTAAAGCTTAGTCTGCACCTACCACTGGTTGAGAAGATGCATGTGAAGATTTAGACCAGATAGTAACAGTGATGCTATCAAGCTCCTCATATGTGAAGTGCTGTTTAATTGTAAAACATTGGTATCATGATCATAAAAGTAATTGTGTTTTGGTTCACAGAGAGTTATTTGTTTCTGACTCAGTGTCTTTCATGATGTTAAGCAAATGTAGACAGTTACTTTTCTGGGAAAGGAGTCAAGTGAAAGGAAAAACCTCAATTTATGTTCTGAGCATTTAATATCATCAGTTTCTGTTTGCTGTGATGTTCCATTTTTATCATCTTTACTCATTTCTAAAAATCAAAGTTTTGTTTAGATTGCACCTAATTTCTCTATCTTGTCACAAGGGTTATCTCCATGTTTAAGAAGTTTTGAAAAATTCAGGTGTTTTCCGCTGTTAAAAAGCATACCTTATAACCCCATACGGTTTTCTTCTCATTGTCTACATTGTAATGGAAATTAACATGTTATTTTGTTAAATATAAACACACATTTTATAAATTGTGGATCACCTAATATTTCTCTACCACCAATAATGATAATATTCCCAGTCATGTGGCTGCTATATAATCAATCTATTTAACCATTCCACTAATTTTTATTGTTTAGGTTTTTCGATATTTTTTCTAATAATGCAGTAACTACCTGTGGAAGATCTTTTAATATCTTCTAAACACTATGTACAATGTTTTTTTTTTCTTCTGGAGTAGTGCCTGGAAATGTGTAATTTATTTAATGGCATTTGTAAATTATTTGCCTTTCTTACCGTTATTTGTAAGGTGGAAGTGTTTCCTTCTGCTGAAACTTAGTCTTGCCATTTTGCAGAGATGAGAAACAAGTGGAGTTTAGCAGGTAGCTGTCTATTAACAATAAGCCACAGTGTTCAAATTTAATAGTGTCATGCCCTTACCTGCAAATAGTTTCCTGGTAGTGCTCATGTTACTGCTATAACGTTGAGCCCCACCATATGTTCACTTAACATTTACAAATTCAATTATATATTCTGAATCAAAGCTCTCTCTCTCTCTCTCTCTCACACACACACACACACACACCCTATTTTTTATATAATACGGTCACTATGTGCTCCTAACTAATTCTGATACTTGGTTGTAATAGTAGAAAATTGCTTCAGTCGCTGGAGGAAAAGTATCATGTGTTGAATTTATTAAACGACAGTATAGTTTACACCACCCTTGTTTATGATACTGTTTTGTCAGCAATTTAACAGATTTCCAGGGTGATATTGACTACCTGAAAATTTTTTCTTATGCTTTGACCATAGAACCTTATCCTGCCCAAGATATAACACTACTGAAATGGAGACTTTTTGTAACACTACTGAATTGGAGATTTTTGAATCAAATCACATCAGTTTTAGTAAGGATGATGGTTGATGACACTACAGTAATGTAGTTAATATGTAGTTCAATAAATTCAATTTTACTTTTCAATAAATAGTAGATGGCCTTTTTTGGCTACAGTTTATTCCTGGAAAATAGATCATTGTTTTCCCCTAAGCACAATGTAAGATCAGGGACAGAGAACCAGATAAGAGAAAAAGGATACTATAAAGGCAGCTATAAATTTCTGTAATCACATAGAATAGTAAAATTTAAAGGACATCCCATAGAGTTCTAGACCTTTGAGGCACCTTAGGGATTATTCACTTCCAGGCATTTCATTTTAGAAATGGGGATACAGGATCCTGCGGAGATCAGGAAGATTTACCAAAGCAAGTGGCAGAGGCAATATTGGAACCCACGGTCCAACTTCTAGTCCAGTGTCTTTCTTTTCTGCGGCACTGTTAGAAGTCGTGCAAAGACAGACTGACGAATTGTGAAGTGCATATGAAAACAGTACTGTACTTTGTGATTAACATACCCAATAAATTAGTGAACTAGATTCACTCTGCATTACTTATCAAATGAACATTAATTTCGTTTTTGTTTTTAGAAGACCTATTGGTAAATCATCTTTCAAAAGACCACACAGGAAGCTACATGGATGCTGTTTCTCTACCCCATTGCCCGCTTTTCCCCCACCATCACACGAGTCAGCCCATCCTCAACAAAATGTACGATCAAGGCAATTTTAAAGAACAGGTGGAAAATGATAAAAATATGTGGTCATTTAGATTGGTATGCTGATTCAAGGGTCTCTCAGCACCAATTCAGAAGGGACCAGTCTTTTAACCACCTTGTCAGGTTCGCACACTCTCCACTTATCATTGCCCACATGGACCCTTGCCTTAGAAACAAAGATCGCCTAGGTAAGGGTATTGGCAAATGAAGGACTAGTTAGACAACATCAAGTCATGGCATGAAAAGGGAGAATAAGTTTTGCAATTTCCTCATTCCCATGCGTACTCCCAGCTTTCATGGAAATGTTCTGTAAAAACAATTTATACATTTCAAGGTCACGGTACAGGAAAAAACAGAGCTCAACCTCTTTCCTACCCAAATCATTTATTCTCGCCCTTATTTCTCCTTGGTGTGAACGCTTCAGAACAAAAGGACCATTTCCTTCTTTCTGCTCGCCACAGAAATAGATGGATGTCACTGCCAATATCAACTCCATTCTACTTTGAGACTTAGTCAAGAGAACAGGGACATATCCATCAACACCAAGCTCTAGATCAAAGTTTAAGGAAAATAGAAATCAACCTGTAAAGAAGGCAAACCTTTATTTTTCATGCAAAATTAGCAGAAGCCCTTTTAGACAGAAATGTGTCCTTGCTTTTGCATTATTTGAGAACTGAAGTGTATCACTTTTTTTGAGAACTTGAATTCAATGTATTGCTTTTTCTCAGTGTGTTGGATTTACAAATAGTTTTCCTGCATCATTTTTTAATGATTCAGCTTAGAGAAGTAAAGATCAGGAAATAACACATAAACAATTTGTCTTGACCATATCATCCATCCTTCTGGGAAAGTCCTAATTCTAATTTTTAACTTTATTTTTTACAGAACTTCTTATTATTTTTTAAAGATGAACTATAGTGTGTGAATCAAGGCAAATCTGAACTTAAATAGCCACTCAAAACAGTTGAAAGAGTAAAACGCTGAATATTACTTCACCTACACATTCTGCATTTCATGATTTACATGCTTGTTTATTGTCAAACACCACACTTATCTGAGCACCTTGTATACATTTCCTGAGTTTCTTAAATGATGGCTTTTTATAATATTAAACTTACTCTTGAATAATAATCATAAAGACACCCATTATACTATAGCTATGCTTAACAATAAGGATGTGATGATGAGATACTAAAATAGTGAAGTACAACTTTCTGCTTTACATTATTCAGGTTATTATAAGACAGCGGAAGAACTGATAATACTGATTGTTGAGAGGATAGCTAATTAAGCCTGGGGAAATTTGGGGGAAGGTTGAACTTCTGTGTTATTGATTCAGTTTGACTGTCTTCACAACATGCAATGTTAACACATTTCTCATTTTGTCTGTATTGATTTGGCCTTCAGAAAGTTGAAGGAAAAGGTTTTTCCCACCTCTTAAATTTCACTTCTGCCACAAAGTGTTATGCTCCTTCTTATGTTATTTAAAATCATTCCATAAAGCAGTTTTTTAAATATATGTATTGCAAAAATCAACAATCTTACAAAAAGCAATGTGCTTTCCCAAAGTTAAGTTTGGATGTATTAAGACAAATATGGTGCCATCAGATAACTGGAAGAACTCAGGAACAATTTGGAAGAACTGAAATGTGAAATCTATAGTTCTTTCCATGGTGACTAAGAGGCAGAATTGGCTCTTCAGTGTATAAATAATGCAGTGACTCCAGAACCAAATATATGACACTAAGTTTATGATAACCGTGTTCTTTGGAAATCATTGCACAGATCATTGTTATTGCCAAAGAAACTTCGTGTAAATTTCTGTTTTCCAAAGTTACACCACAAAAGGCAATTTTAAATAGTTTGAACAAAAATACATAGCACCAAACATAATAAACACCCCAAAATGTCTAATGAACAGTTACCACATGTGGAGCTTAGAAAATAGATGCATGCATTATATTTATTTTAACCTAATTACATAAGTATATTGATATTTTTATGATTTAAATTAAATGCAAGAATCACTTTTAAGACTCACTTGTTTAAAATAATATTCAGTAGAGAAAGTCTAGGCTACAAAGAATCAAGGATAGATCCTTTCTGGATATTTTCAGAAAAGATCCTTTTCTGTTCCATACCCAGTATAATAAAAATATTACATATATTACTTTTAATATGGAAAGTATGATGAGTAGTGTTTAAAGCATCATTGTACTAAGTGTTTCAAATGCGTCAGGAATTGCTTAATCCTCTGAAGAGGTCTATGAGGTGGGAATTCCTTTACTCCCATTCTTCTGAAGAAACCATCGAGTACTGCAGCTTCATGACTGGCCGCAGCAGCGGTGGGAGGGCCAGGGTTTAAATTCACGTCTGCCTCGAGTGTCCAGCTGGGGCTCTTCAGCATTCTCTTTGTTCCTGGAACCACAGACGATACAACTTCTGGGTGTCTTACATTCACATGCGGATTCATAAGCAGTGCTGAAAATCCGCCAACTGAGAAATGATAAAAGAAAGCCACAGACTTTGTGAATAATAGGTTTTGCCAACGACTGCTATTTTTGTGAGTTTGCAGATAAATAAGACAGTAAAATCTAATCTTTTCCTCCCTGTAGCTTTGTAATAAAATAGTGTTTCTGGTGAGTTTTGTGGGAAATCGCGGCACTTTCACCCGAGGCTACCGAGCGGTCATCCTGGATATGGCCTTTCTCTATCACGTGGCGTATGTCCTGGTTTGCATGCTGGGCCTCTTTGTCCACGAATTCTTCTATAGCTTCCTGGTGAGTACTTCTCCATGTGGACAATCAGTGCCGAAAAAAATACACAATGCTGCCTCTTCCTTTGATTTTTTTTTTTTTTAAGCAGGTCCTGACATTTAGGACAAATTATGTTATTTTTAGACTTTCCTAGGAAAAGCGTGGATTATTATTATTTTTAATCTCTTCCTCTGAGAAACCACATAGGTGGTGGAATTCTTTATTTCCTCTCTGAGAAGTCACCATTGACCCCACCTCTTGACCCAGGCTTCATATAGCAGCTGCTTTTGGTTTCAGCCAAATCCTTACTTACTTCCCTTTACATTTAGAGAGTCCCTAACAGCGTGTAGGGGGGAAAATGGAGACATATTTTTGTAGTACGGGAATCATTGCATTTTGTTTACAACAACAAATATTATTGTAACTTTAGAAGAGTGTATACATGAAATGAAGGGAAAACCGCTAACCCAGTAAAAACACAGTGAGTCATTTTAAGTCCTCATTTCAGAATTAATATGTCATTGTTGTTAAGCTTATCCTCCTATATCTAATTCATTAAATGGGTTTGCAGGTTTCTTCTAGAGGTCTGTTGGTTTTTTTTTTTCAGGTTATCTGTTTTCTGTTTTGCCCCCTACATATAGTCTGTTTTATAGCCATAAACTAGGAGAGAAGACAGTATAAATATGTGATGATGTTTTGAAACCTGAAGCACTACCAGACTGACATCGTGATGCCATAGGAGAGATTTATTTTTATCTCCCACCCATGGCTGGCATGCAGTAGAGAGCACTAGCCAGTAAAATAATTCCTGAAACCTAAGGTGAAGATCTAAAAACGTTATGCTGACCCTATTTGCTTGGGTCATAAGGGACAAATCCATCGCCTGCTGCTTTCCTGTTTTCTAGCAAACCCATGTAGGAGACTGAAAAGAGGCAAATTTTCCATTTACTCTCAAGCACTTGAAAGAGCCCCATGATACAAAACTATCTTCTAGGTAGTTAAGTTAGATTATTCAACAATCAAAAGTAGATTTTTTGTTCTGTTCCAGGGATCCAAATGAAGTCCCTGTCTGCTCTAATTTCCCATAAAGAAACCACTGTTTAAAACATGCCTGAGATATATAAAGTCTTATTACACCCAGCACTTCTACTGGACCTGTGATGTATAACAAACATTCTGTAATCTTTTTGTGCTTCAACCTTCTCATCTGTAAAACCAATAAGGATAGGATGATAGACTCGTACTATCAAGATTCATGAAAGAGATAATATAAAAAACATGTAAAATGATGTCTGTAAGTCTTTATGTTTTCCAGGGAAAGACATTTAAGAAAATGTATTTGTGTATTTGAATGATTATATGAGCTGTTGGTAGTAATGTTACTTTTACTTTACTTCGCTTACGCTTATTTTCCAGTTGTATTTTCCTCTTATATGTTATCTTTCAAATCTTACAGCACTGATGCTAATTTGTTTTCACTGGGTTGCTTGTGAAAAGGATACTATCCATATTTTTAAAGTTTAGTTATTTATTTATTTTGTGAGAGCAAGAGTGAGGGCAAGAGAGAGGCAGAGAGAGAGGGAGGGGGAGAAAAATCCCACATGGGGCTCTATCTTACAAACTGTGAGATCACGACCTGGGCAAAATCAAGAGCCAGACACTTAACTGACTAGCCCACCCAGGTGCCCCAAGAATATTGTCCATTTTGATGTTTAGAATACTAGGAGGAAATTATAATGGACAAAATGCCAAAATGGCACTTAAGCATATTTTTAAATATATATTGTATTTTTAAAAAATACATGAATATATATTCCTAGTTATATCCACAAATACCAGTACTTTATCCAAAATAATAAAAGCCACACTCTAGAGTTTGGTTTCAGAATGAATAGAAAGAACCATCAACCTGACCAATGTCAAAACCTTTTTTTGCCTTCCCAAGATTCAGATTCCATGGGAATGGAAGAGGCCCAGAAATATGCATTTTTAACAAGCATCCTTCTGAAAATGATAAGCCTTTAGAAACCTTTCAGAAGTGACCTAGAGCCCATTGTCAGACCATTTCTTTAAGCCACTTTTGAGTTAAAGGAAAATCTCTTACGTCAGTGAAACACTTAAGTAAGTTAAAGAAGTCAGAGTGTTGATAATTTGGAAGTTAATTTGCATTAATTAATTTGTCTGTCCTGAAGAACATTGACTTAATTTCTAAAAATTTTTTTAATGTTTTATTTATTTTTGAGAGAGAGAGGTAGAGACAGCATGAGCAGGGGAGGGTCAGAGAGAGAGGGAGACACAGAATCCAAAACAGGCTCCAGGCTCTGAGCTGGCTGTCAGCACGGAGCCCGACGCGGGGCTCGAACCCACAAACTGAGATCATGACCTGAGTCGAAGTCGGCCGCTTAACCAACTGAGACACCCGGGCGCCCCCATTGACTTTATTTCTAGAAGTTTCTGCTCCCTCCAGAACATAAGCGGATAACACAATATCTAAGCAAATTGTATACGATCATGATAAAATATCAACTTCCTAAGGTGAACAAACAAGGTAATATCTTTATGACAATTATTTGCAAGACTAGAATTAAATTGGAGAGTAACTGTATAACCCTCAGTACTCAGAAGAACAGAGTATAAACAAGGCCCTGGTGTTTCCAAAGGGATTCGTGACACTGGTAATGGATCATTTCAACCTGCTCAGAAATTCTAATCAGTGCCCTCAGATAGCAGGAGACAAACCTTAATTATCCCAACTTTCAAAATAGTATTCATTTACAAACAGTTATTTATGCCTTTTTAAGCAAATGTTAATTTATTGCTTTTAACCAGCTTTTGATAATATAACATGTACTTGCTAATGTATAATTTCAACTTAATAATATAGCAATAAATAAAATTGCTCATGGTGTGGACTCCAGATGGCAAACACATACCTAGGTTCTTGACTAATGTGTAGATTTTCTACTACTAAACACAAAATGGATAAAACCAATTAGAGGAAGTGGACATTTAACAAATTGTGTATTACATTTTTTCTTATACTTCTGTTTCCAGAAGTACATACTAATATAATATAATAGGCTTTGCCATTGTTATATCCCATTAGCCAGGAAAGGTGTTTCCATTCCTCAGATATTTTTAAATTTCCTCCCTTTTCTATGGCAGCAGGCTTATAAAATTGTTCTAGTCATTTCACCTCGAATCCCTTGATTAAACAATATGTTTAATGAATCTGTCGATTACTCATCACTTAGGTAAATATAATTCAGCATTCTCACCTTAGACATTTTACACATTCCACAAGCAAGTGGAGGACATCAGTCAGTCTAAAAATAAGGAATAGGGAGCTAAGTTGGTTAAGTAGAGTATTATAATTTTCCTAAATTCAAATGTGATGCTATGCTATTTCTGTATCTTACAAAATTAAAATTATGTTGGTTATGAAACCAGCACACATTATACACACATTATACACTATGTGAGAATTATCTTTTTGAAAAGCAGTTTATTAATACATCCCAACTGTAGAAGAAACGTGTAGTTTGGTGCACTTTTAAGGTATCAGGTTATCATTTTTTCGTAGATAAACTAAAATGGCTTGCATGTATATCCATAATTACCTTCCTGTTTATTCAGCTTTTGCTCCACTGTGTTTTTTTCTTGTTTTGGTTTCTGTTTGTAGCTGTTTGATTTGGTGTACAGAGAAGAGACTCTGCTCAATGTCATAAAGAGTGTCACACGAAATGGCCGCTCCATTATTCTAACTGCAGTTCTGGCTCTCATCCTTGTCTACCTGTTTTCCATTATTGGGTTCCTTTTCCTGAAGGATGACTTCACAATGGAAGTGGATCGACTGAAAAACAGAACTCCTATTACAGGTATTGCTATTACCACCAAATGAGCTTCCTCTCCTGGCAGATATGACTTGTACGCAGCTTAAGAGCATTACAGATAAACACTAATGGAGGAAATGTTGCCTTTGAAAACATGTTCACTGAGAGCTCATGAATGTGCAGTACTCCTCAGCTGTCTTTTAGCCGTCAGTGTGTATAGAAAAATCCTGGTATAAGAAACATCATCTGGGCTCAGTCTCAGTAAGAAAGTTTCAACAATGCTGACTATTTTCCAGGAGACAGTCAACAACTTCAGTGTAGGAGAATGGCTTTGGGATTCTCTTCTTCCTCTTTTTTCCTGTCTCCCCCCAAGAACAACATCTAACATCATTCACAACAGTTTTTCCACATATGTTTGCTCACAGTACATCATATTATACTTAAATGATTGAAAATGATAAATGTTTTGATTTGGAAACCATCAGGAAGTAAGAAATTTGCTATTGAAAAAATGCTCAACATACAGTCATTAAGGCGCTCCTACGTGGCTGTCACAGGTTCTGTGCAATGTTTATTTCTGTTGTCTGACGGGTTACACGTCATCCATTTACACTTACTGTGATTCTCGTGGTGTGAGGGCTTATTCTTTCCATCTTACTTTGAATTTTTATTTATCATGCTTTCTAATGGTTTCTTCTTTCCCCTTTCCTACCTTTCCTTGTTTGGGTTAAATTTCTTTGTTACTCTTTTTCCTCTTGTGCTTTGCTGGATACAAATCATAGTTCTGCACTTTGCTGTTTGTTTCTCTGGGTGCTTCTGCTGCCTATGAGTTGTAGAGAATGGAAACCACAAAATGACTCTCCTCTCAAGCCATTAAATTTAAAGGTATGATATAATTAGTGGTGACTTATAAACACTATTCTTTCTTGCCTTTAACAAATATCTCTTGATTATTAAATTGATGACAGATGGTAGTTTCTTTCTTAGAATATGGGCTAATTAAGTGATGTTTGGATCTGTTATTAAGTCTAAGTAATCAAAGCACAGAATAGAAATGTCATATACATAGATCAAAAGTTATTAAACTGGAGACTGAATTTCAAACCTACGTATTCATCTTTATTCAGAGGAACATGAAATATTTTGTTACTGCCTTTCCTGTTCTCCCATAAGTGTTACTTGTTCCATAATTTTACAGGCATAAATATTTAAAGGAAGAGCTCATATCCCTAAGTAGCCTCCCAAACTATCTGTGGATCATAAACAAAAATCTTCAGGTTTTAACTTTTTACTATTTACCAGGAATGATAACAATGTGTTACTCAGTACCGGGAGAGTCTGAAGCTGAAGAATCACAGTTCCCGAATCCAAATGTATACAACAGTTATTGTTTTATGAATCTAGTCGTAAATATTTTTGTGTTATTAAAAAGTATGTTAGTGTCATTATGAACATATCTTCCTTAGAAATCTAAAAGGGGCGCATCGGTGGCTTGGTTGGTTCAGTGTCCGACTTCAGCTCAGGTCATGATCTCACAGTGCATGGCTTTGAGCCCCGGGGTCAGGCTCTGCGCTGACAGCTGGGAGCCTGGAGCCTGCTTCAGATTCTGTGTCTCCCTTTCTCCCTGCCCCTCCCCCACTCACACTCTGTCTTTCAAAAATGAATAAACATTAAATTTTTTTTGTTTTCATTGTTTTAAATTTAGTTTTGTTTTTTAATGTTTATTTTTGAGAGAGACACAGAGCACGAACAGGGGCACGAGAGGGGCAGAGAGAGGGGGAGACACAGAATCCAAAGTAGGCTCTGAGCTGTCAGCACAGAGCCTGATCTGGGGCTCGAACTCACAAACCATGAGATCATGACCTGAGCCAAAGTGGGACACTTAACTGACTGAGCCACCCAGGTGCCCCAGAAGAAGTCTTTTTGTTTTAAATATAAAAATACCTTTTCTCTTACAAAACAGGCAGCATTAGACCTAAAATGTCAAGGTCTTTATTAAAAATTTGCATATTTACATTAAAAGCTGTTAAATAAGAGAAAGCATACTATGAAAATCTAGCATACGAGAACAGCTGGTAGAATTAAACTCTTGATTCTTCATAGGTTGAGAATTTTTGTTGCATAGGGCTGAGAGTCCATGAGAAAACGTGCCCTGGAAAAAGCACCCTTGTTTTCATAATATTTTTAATTATTTAATTTGTAAACCCATCTGTCTATTGATAAATAGCATCAAGTTCATTTTTTTCAAGTACCGAACACTATTTGCTCCCAAAGCTGAGTGAAAGCTTATTGAGGATAACATGCCTAGATAGCAATTGAAGTCTGTAGGGCAGACATGCACAGTTGTTCAGGAAGTAGGAAGTAGTCAGGGGAAAGCCAGGAGGTGGGAACAAGAGGGGAGGTTGGGAGTTTTAGAGCCTATGACCGTGCATCGCAGACACATAGGAGAATGGAGATTGGATCATTTGCAAATGGCATTGGGAATGTAGGGAAATGCAGATCCTACCTCTGGGACTCAAGGCCCCAGCGCTCCACAGAGGAAACAGCTGCCTCAGGGGGCTGGGGGTGGGGGGGAGTCCCTGTCTTAGAAAAGCCTAGTGAGTCAGAGAGAAGGTTCTGTCCGCAAACAGAGGCTACAGTGTTTCTCATGTGTTCTTGCTTCCATTTTCAGTGCTGTCCTCTGGCTTCCCATCCACATTTCCTCTCACCCAGGAGACTGTAGGAACATCCTAGGCGGCTTCCCCACCTTCAGCCTCTTCTCCCCGCCCAGTTTATTCATTGTAACCTCCGACTGGTTCAGTCTCTCATTGATTCAAAAACTGCTGGGATCTGCACTTGCTGTGAGATGCTCGGTGTAAAACAGTAGCCTTGGAAGCTCAGGCCACTCTGCTCCCACGTCTGTGCCTTTGCTGGCCTCTGTGCCTTTTGTCATACAAACTGCACCTGGAATTCCCCCTCCCGCTAGCTACCCCCCCATCTTTCCGTGTGTGAATCCCGTGTCTTCTTTAGATTAATCCTTCTCCAAAATGCTTTCTGTTTGTTTGTTTTTTCCTAGAATTCACTTCTCTTTCATAATGCACTATATTACATTAACTGCTTTACTTCTTCGACTCAACTGTAATGCGGTCTTTGCCCCTCAGTATTCCCAAATTGTCAGGTCTCTAAGATCTGGACTTTGGACCCTCAGAGCCTAGCATGGAGTCAGTAAATATTAAATAAGGGAATGGCCACCAGGTCACATTCAGAAACCCCATCTCTCTCCTTCTCTGACCACCAGAAACCGACTCCAGCACAAAATGGTGCACCTGCCCTTTCCCCTAAGCTTGCCACAGTCAAGGGCCAAGGAAAGATGGAGGTGTGTGTGTGTGGCCTCCCTTCCCTGAGTGGACTCCGTCTTCCTCAGCTTCAGGCCTTAGGTGGCAGGCAATCCCAGGCCTGGCCCGTCTCCCAGTCATGCGTCCCAACTCCAGCTCCCATTTGTCACTTCTGCCCTCATCTCATCAGAGAATCAGGGTACCATGGTGTGGCGTTGCTCTGATGCACTTGAGTATTTCCTCAACTCTTTGTATATACTAATGAACTTACTCCTGTCCCTCCATCTTACAGACTGTCCTTGATGACTCTGTTTGAAAAATCGGCTTCAGAAGTATGAACCTCTTTACTTTGTATTTGTTACTAACAACAACAAAAAATTTATAAAGCGTTTCTCATACAGATAGGAAGGTTACCATTTTCTGTTCCATTCTGGCCAGGGAAAGATGTCAAGCAGATGGACCTCGGGAATTAAGGAAGAAAAGAAAGATCCTGAATAGGACCTGGCAGAAGATTCTTACATTTTAAACCCTGTTCCCTAGAGCCCTCCCCGCCCCCAACTTTACTGTTAGAACTGCCACTACCTGCAAGTCTCTACCTGCTGTGGGGACTGATTAGTGGCTTAGAGTCGGGGAAACCAACTGCTTTGCGGGAAATGTGCTCTGGCATTCCAAGACTGAATACTGAACGCATTTGGCCATGGAAGCATTGTTGCACATGGTGGTTAAGTTCTGCATTATTATTAATACTTTATCTCTGCCACTTCAACAAGGTATAAAAGGCTTTTAGTGGGTTGCCTCATGAACCTACTCTCTATTTATAAAATTGCTTCAGCACACAAAACTGTGCTCAGAATTCTGAGCCAACTTCCTAAAAGACTTAAGATCACAGCTAAGTTGAAGTTGTAGTGCTTTTTATTTATATGCCTTTGTAACTATATGTTCATTTCTTGTCATTTGCATATTTGTCTCTATACCGTATTCTAATTTGTGTGTTCTCAGGTAGTAATGAAGTTCCTACTATGACTTTAACTTCAATAATGGGAACATGTGAAAAGGACAACTGCTCACCCACATTACCGGCTTCAAATACAGGTCTGTAAAAAGGATCCCAGAACAGTACAAACCTGATACTTTGTAGTTATGTTTACTGCTAAGAGACTTGCTCTAAGAATTTCATGGTGGGTTGAAATAGAATCATGGAGGGTAAAAGAACCAGAAAGTTTCAAACTAGAGAAAGGATTCCTATTATTCGTTATTTTGCATCCCCACCCCATTCCTTATATTATTTCTATTCATGAGAATTTATCAGATTTACCTTGTGGATACCTGCTGCTAAAAATATGATTACCAGATTGCAAACCCATGCCTCACCAAGACCCTTTTAACTACATAGCCTTTAACAAAGAATCTGGAAATGCACAGGCGTAGAACTCAGACAGCTTGGTATAATCCTGGACTTCCCACTTTCTGGCTCTCTGTCTTAGATATGTTATGCAAATTTCCTGGACTTTGTTCAGATGGTTTGCCCAGAGTGGGAGGGAGGGAGGGAGCAGACAGAGAGACAGAGAGAATATGATACTTTCCCTGCTTCCAAAGGAGCAAATGGAACCATGCTCATAAAAAGAATTTTTGAAACTCTAAATTGTTCTCAATGGTTTGGAAACTGTGGCATATGTGAAATTTAGTGAACTGTAAAAGGAATTAGTGATCTCTTTCCAGAATCAGCAGTGAGTTAGGGAGTATATATCTTTAAATATTTCAAGAGTTTTATATATAAGAAAGGAGCGGGTTCAGTCTGTGTTACACTGTGAAGGGCAGCATTGGACTCAGGGAAGATGAGGGAAGGAAGAGTTAATAAGGAAAGTGTAAGGATGGAGTTCCCCATTTCCATCTGGGAGCACATCGTTCATCTGATCGTAATGATAGCGGTGTCTTTCCTAAGTTGCCTTTTTCCTTGAGATGTTGGATTGTGGCATGAGGAAATATGGATAGTCCCTTTGGCGAATGAAATGTTTCAACCTTTATGACCTAAAGGGAGAAATAAACACATATACATTCCATCCCAATGTCCCAGTAGCCAAAGGAACTGTGAACACCTGCCTCCCAGGCTTCTTTCCTCCCCTGAGCCCTGGTTACCGGCACAAGGCTTCCAAACAACAAACCAGCTCATTCCTTGCTTTTGTAGCTTTACTGTGCTCTGCAATTTCTAAAATCCTGTTACATGCAACCTCCAGTTTAAACATTTCCAATTTCCTCAGCCTTCCTCACATATTATAGCAGTGACTCTTGATGTAACCCTCCAGGGCAAGAAGCTGAGTGGTGTTATCTTACTCTGGACAGTCAAATTGGGAATCACACCCTATCCTTGACCCAGATTTGGCTGACTCTTGGCTAAAATGCCATTCTTCACTGGTTCGGCTATTAAGCCATAAATGTCTATCCTGTACTTGTGTAACTGGGAGTTTGGAATTTCAAGTATAAAACGATGCATTTATTTTTACTTATTTCTGCCACCCATAATCCAGGGCCATCTCAGTTTGTTCTGGAAATAGACGAGGAGTTGTTTGACGGGGTGACCTCTAGGTTTCCAGCACCTTCCAGTTCTAACATGCCACAGGCCTCGTGGTATCTTTATGGATCCTGATTCTGTTAAGCAATATGTTTATTCTCTCTTATGTCATCCTCAAGTTGATAAGCTGTAGAACAGGGATTGGCAAACTATGGCCCGTGGGGAAATTTGACTTGCCACCTGTTTTTGTACAGCCCTCGGGCTAAGACTGCAAAGACTAGTTTTAACATTTTTAAAAAGTATTTTCTTTAAAGAAAAAGATGCATTGGAGACTTTGTGTCACCCACAAAGCCCAAAAAATTTCCCATCTGGCTCTTTAGAAAAAAAAATTGCCCACCTCTGCTAAGGAAGATTTTTATTAAAGGCACTAGAAATGTTGCATAGGACAGTGCCAAGGTCAAAATCTTTAGCATGCTACTAGAAACATGCTTTCAGACTCACATAGTCATGTTCTGTACAATTCTTCAGCCAATAGAACTCTGTCTTAAATAAACTATCAGTTAGCCCATGTTTCTCCATCTTTAAAAAAATCATGAGACTCCTAAGTATCTCCTTGCCAAAGCCCAAACACATAACGTCTGTCACATCCCCAGTTTGAGGCTCATGTGAACCCATACTGGTTTCTCTTGATGCCACCTTCTTCCCAAACCATCCTTTTAATGATCCATTTTGCTATGTTATCATGAGGATCGGCATCAAGCTCAGTTGTCAGCAGTTCACAGAATCTGTCACAATCTCAAATTCAGGTCTATAAATGCTCCTCTCCTTTTATTATGCATGATTTTAAAAGAAATATAGCAGCTATTTCAAAACCTCGGGTATAGTTTAAATAGCTATGTAAAATTAAATTGCTCTTAGGATCTTTAGGCCATCTTGAACTTCACTTCATTGTCACCAGAACTTGTTATCTTCTTTTCAGTTCAACATTCTTTCTTCTTAACAACGTGAAAATTAATAGGTTAAAAAATTTAGTTTCTTTTTAGCACAAATATTCTAACAACATGGTCCCAAGTATATAGTAACCCGATTCCTGCCTTGCTCTTCTATCTCTGAATATTACCTTAAAATTATTACCTTTATGTTAAAGCAAATGCACTTAAATGATAGTTTGATTTTAAGAAAAGAATATTACTTTGCCAGTGAGCCAACCACAAAGCCAGTGTTCTTCCTGCCAGAGACTATAAAGATGGTGGACCCAGGGGCCCAGCACAGCAGCTAAACTAGTGGTGCTCGTCCCCAGAATGGGCGCAGGAAGCTCCTAAGACTCAGGGAAGTGGCTGCCGGAGGCTCTGGTGCTGGGCTGAGACCTTCCCAGTCATGCGTGCTGAGAGCCTATCCCAGGACGTGTCTGCCCAGCTCCGTACACCCTTACAGATGGTCGGCTTTATATAATTATTATCGGTAATCACCCAGACATTCAATTGTAATTGTCTTATGTGCTGTTACTAATTGTGACGTTTTGATCTAACATTTTAAAAAAATGAAGTGAGTATTTTTGTACAACAAGAAATTCATGAAGCCAATTCAGTACAAATGCTGATGGCATTAATAATTATAAAATCTTCATTCATTCCTTCATACAGCAATATTTGTTGAGCCTGTACTACGGCCAGCCAGCATGCTAGGTGTTCAGGACATGGTACTGAATACACACACATTGGCTATAGGTAGAGCAAACAGAAAGGCCTTTCTGAGGAGGGATTATTTAAATTGAGACTTGGAGCATGAGAAGGAGCCAGTCACACCAAGGGGAGTGCAAGTACATTCCAGGCACAGGGAACAGCATGGGTGAGGGCTCTGAGGCGCGTCAAGGATGTAGAGAGATGCTATTAATTATCCTCACTTTATGGGTAAAAACACTGAAAGCACAAACGTTGAGCAAGGTCACAATAGCTGGTAGACTAATCTAGACCTCCAATTCCAAGGCCCGTCCTCCAGTCTTCTAAGTTTTATTGTCTTCTAGTTAAAGGATTAACTGGGAGGGATGCTAGGGGCATCTGATGATTAGAGGCCGGGGATTCTGCTAAACATCCTGTAATGCTCAGGACAGGCCGCTCAGCAAAGAGCGATCCAGCCTAAAATATCAATGGTGTTGAGGATGAGAAACTCCATTCCATCCCAAAGTCCATTTGGATACTGGTTTACAACTCTGAACACAAGCTCATAAAAGGCTACTCATAAAAACCTCTACAACCTGTGACTCACCTATTACCCAAAGAAGAGAACTTCCCTTTTCTGGATAGGCAGACGGGGACAATTCTTCCAGGCTTATGACACCAGAAGCAAAGTCTTCATTTTCTTAGGCTCCACCTGTGCTGAGAACAGGGAGAAGCAGGTATGATTTTGCAGGGAAGCACCCAGAGAATGGAGATGAGGATAGTGGAGGAATGTCAGCCCCATAGGGTGACAGGGACCCTGTTGGGAGCCAGAGCTGAATGGCGATCATTCCTAAATCAGTGTTTAAAACTGCAAGAATGCCTGTATTAACATGTCTACTCTTTCCTTGTATCCATTTTGCTTGTGGCCTGGTTAAGTGATAAAGTTCATGGGACTGAAAAGTCCACAGATTTACTCCTCTAGCCCTAGCCACCTTTAAATCATGGCCACATGAATTTAACTGCAAAAGCAGAATAAAAACCAGAAGCTGGTGTTTGCTGTGTACCATGTGTCTGTCACTGAGATTTAAAAATAACTTTCTATGTCTAAGATCAAAATTAAATTTTAACTTGCAAACCCTAGCATGCATTTGTGACAGCCTTGGTTTGTTACCTTGTGGACAGCAGGCCCACGTTACAAAGGCCCTGACACATACCCAGCGCCAGAATAGCAAACCTCGTGGTGATTGGGAAGCCCGGCGGCCCATCCCCGAGGATGCTGCAGCAGATGCAGGTAGGCTCATTGTCCCAGGAGCCGCACATTCGCATGGTAACTGGCAACCAACTGTGGCTGGAAAAAAATAAAATAAAAAGAACTTTTATTTCATTTGCTGTAGACCTACCTGACTTCTTAGACAAATATAATCACTTACCAAAGAAACACCAGAAAAATTTAATAACTGATTTTCTAGAAAAGGGAGGGCTTTTTTAGGCAACTTACAAAATATAGTTACAATTATTTTCTGAGGAAGGGTCATTCAAATGTACAGAAAAGGGAGGAAGCTCACAGATTTCTCACACTAATGAGTAATTCTAACGTGACATGTTTTGGTATTTTACTTTAATGAAAAAGACTGAGGAATAGCGGAAACCAATCAGCTTTAGCACCACTCTACATTTTGGCTTCCCACTGGGGGCCTTGCATTTTAATCTCTTTTTCTAGTTAAACATTTTAAAAAAGAATTTCCATAATGAAGCGATTGTAATTAAAGTTTAAAACTAACAAACAAGAAGGGTCCAAATGCACTCAGGCTTTCAGATATATATCCCAGTGATAATCTTGTTTCTAAAAAATTATTTTAAAATGGATAATTTAATTATTAAGGCAGAAAAAAATAGCCTTATTAACAACTCTTATTCAAGCATGACCAATATTTGAAAAAAACTTATAGGCTAACACCTCAGATCAGAGCCAGTCGAAAATGTTTTTATTCCTTTCTTCATAAAAAACACTTTAATATCGTTTATGAATTAAGAAAAACTATTTTACTAATACTCAACTGAAAAGGAGCATAATTTAATGTCATACTGTCCAAGTATCAAGTTTGTTATATTAAAACTATACCTTTGCATAAGATTTTATAGCCATCCATCACCAATAATGATAATTATAATACCTAGATTTGTTATCCTCACGTGCCAAGCGATGTTCTAAGTTCCTTACAAGTGTGTGTTTAGCTTTTTTAAGTGTGTCTGCATTACACATCTATTTTCATGAATTCTTTCCTTTTGCCTGTACACAAGCTTGTGCTATCACTTCTTTTTTCCCTAAAGTTTGTTTGTTTCTTTGTTTATTCATTTATTTATTTAGAGAGAACAGAGAGCCCCCAGTTTCTCTCCCAAGCTTTATCTTCCACTCCTCTACATGCTGGTTTATTTGATTTTCATCACATAGGTGAATATTTTTCTACTTCTCGGGCTCTGTGGCCATGCCATGTGAATGCCTCTCTGCTACTGTTTTAATTCATTGAATATTCAAGGGAAATTCAGAGGCTTCTTCCCTCTCATTATCCCTAGTATTAAGTGTTCTCCCTATTCTGATTTCTTTGTACCACTTCTGTGGCTTTAAATGCATGTTAATTTGCCTTGTAAATTAAGTAAATGTTTTATCTCCTACTATTTCATCAGCTAGTTGATAAACCACCTTGCCCCTATTTAACGTTCTCCAGCAGCTCCTCTTGGCTTTCAGATAAACTTGAAGCCCTTTATCTGGGTGTAGGAGTCTCTCCATAATAAACAGTTCCCTTCCTGTTTCTCTTCTCACAGTTGGCTATGGGCACCAAAGTCCCGGTCATTCTAATGCACCCGCAGTTCCTCAAGCACCCCACATATGTCCATGCCTGTTTACCTTTGCTCATCCCACTTTATCTGCCTGGAATGTCTTTGCTGATATTACTGGCCAGGCATGTGTCTCTTTCAGTATTCAACTCAAGATGAATACTGAGAGATGCTGTCCCCAGCACCCCCATTCCTGTGAGATGCACACCACCCTGCCTGCGCAGTGCATTGTCTTTGTTCACCTGCCGACCCACCTTCCCTAGGAAACCATAAATCTCCTAGAGGCCCCCATACTCTCCCCTCCCCACGTGTATACCCAGCACCTAGCTCAGGGTCTGTTGAGGCAGTGAAATGAGGCAGGTTTGGCATAGGGAAGGCGAGGTGGTTATGTAGGTAGGTCTCCACAAGGTGGCATTTACATAGATGAATTTACTATGACTCAGGGCCTGGCTTTCAGCCTGAAGGCCTGGGAACTTGGCTTAACATATTGCGAATAAATCTATCTCACAAAGATAGAGCCTTATTGACCAAGCTCGTGGAGGCTGCTATATAAAACTAGCGTGGCTCCGCACCAGTTATTATGGAATGAATATCAATTGTTGTCATTGACCTGACCTGGGTGTTCTCCCTGTTTACATGTCACACAGAAAGTCAATACTCTCATTATATATATTTGCAGCCAATGCATTTTATTTTACAATGGCTAATCATGTGAATTGTGTGTGGATTTCACTGGCTCACCTGTGAGAGAATGAACAATCTCATTCTTAAATTACTGGGGAGAGATGAGAGGACTTTCATGTGGCATCATCTATGGACTGATCAATCAGGCACGTAATTGAGTCATTAGTAAACATTTATGTGACATGACCAGGTGTTCCTGATTGAATAGACGAATGTGGATCCCGCCACTAAAAAGAAGATTGCTTTGGTTGAAAGTCTAACTATAGCAAAGTAGCATAAAGACGTTTTCCGTATGGCCTAGTTACTAGAAAATCATATTTCTCTTTTGAAATTACTTTAATTCCCTTACACATTTTTAAATGTTTTTTTCATGTTTATTTATTTATTTTGAGAGAGAGAGAGAACAAGGGAGTGGCAGAGAGAGAGGAAGAGAGAGAATCCCAAGCAGGTTCCATGCTGTGAGCACAGAGCCTGACATTCACTCTCACAAACCAGATCATGATCCGAGCTGGAACCAAGAATCGGACGCTTGGGGGCGCCTGGGTGGCTCAGTCGATTAAGCATCTGACTTCAGCTCAGGTCATGATCTCACGTGTGTTCGAGCCCCGCCTCGGGCTCTGTGCTGACTGCCAGCTCAGAGCCTGGAGCCTGTTTCAGATTCTGTCTCCCTCTCTCTCTGACCCTCCCCTGCTCACGCTGTCTCTCTCTCTCTCTCTCTCTCAGAAATTAAAAACAAACAAACAAACAAAAAAAGAACATTAAAAGAATTGGACACTTAGCGGAAGGAACCACCCAGGCTCCCCCTTTCTCCCGCATTTCTAACTGGTTTTCTTCGTGGTCTTCCTAGTCATCAGGCTAGAACCCACCTTCGAGTGTCCGGAGACCTAGCTAGCGTGCTGCACACGGAGCTTTCTCCGTCTCCCTTGTCTCTTTCTCTGCTCTGCTGCCCCCACAAGCCTCACCTCTTCCCTACTTCTCCTTCCTCCAAAAGCAGTTTTATTTCTTCTGCTTTCTACATCAGAATGTGCCTTGAGGCTCACCTCAAAGGAAAGTGGTCTGGCGCAGACTCTGCTGCTAGCTCTGAAGTTGCGCTCGGTGCTTGCTTGTCTCTGACTCCAGTCCTCCTCTCCAGGTATATGTTTATGTTTTAAAAAGAAACCACTCTTAATAAGGTGAAATTATTGGGATCCCCTATCCATGTGAAGTTAAAGTCAGTTCACAAGAGGAAGATCAACCTTTTCGTAACAAAGTACCAAACAGGCTCTTGGTAATGGATCATGTAGACAAAATTAGACTTTCTTTCTTTCTTTTTCCCCCTCTGGTTGTTTCCATACTCCTGCCTTGACATACACACCGTGACTCTACAATTCCAAAATCCAATGCCACTATGGTTCTTTAACCTTGTAACAAGAAAAATACGTTTCTGCCCACTTACCAGTTTTAGAAAATCCTGATTCTAATATCTAATTCAGTATGAACTTTTCACTATTTTAAATGCCTGGGAAATTAGTACCAAGTCTGGTAACCTTACCTTTAAGCAAAATAGGACCAGGAATTTTTCTGTATCTTTTCTGTCTCCCCATTTCTTCCTAAATATTTTCACATAAATACATTCACATGAAATAAATTGTTCACATACATACATATGCTTCTCCCATAGCTCAGTGCTCAACATTAAAAGAGCTTAGGGGCACCTGGGTAGCTCAGTCAGTTAAGGGTCCAACTCTTGATTGGGGCTCAGGTTGTGAGATCGAGCCCTATGTCAAGCTTCACACTGACCTTTGAGCCTGCTTAAGATTCTCTCTCTCCTTCTCTGCCTGCCGATCCCCACCAATCGTGTGTGTGTGTGTGTGTGTGTGTGTGTGTGTACACACTATCTCTCTCTAAAATAAAAAAAGTATCTATATACATAAAATAAAATAGGGCAGAAATAATATCTGCCCTAATTTTTAAGCACCTACTAGGTGTATGCTAATCTCTCTTCAGTGTTTTACATATTCTTAATATAAGGTTCTGAAGGGTTTCACCCTTAATCAGACCTCCCCATTTTACAGATGAGGATATTGAGGTCAAGGGATGGCCAAAGTCTCAGTATTGGAACAAAGTAGAATTTGAAGCCACGCCCATCTAGCCGCCTTACACGTGCGCCCCCACCTGCAATATCTTTGCCTCCTGGGTGAGCTGTTTTCCTGAGCCCTTACCACAGCCTCCCACACTACAGCAATGCACAAGGAATACTGGCTTTCTTATATTTTGTGCTTTTCATCCTGTGATTTTTGACTGATGGAAGAAAACAAGTATTTCAGAATCCCACTGTGTGGCCTTCTCAGTCTGTGTCAGTCACATGCTGCAACATTTAATGTGGGTGATGTGATTTTGAAAAATTGTGTTGTGGCACTGTTATAATGAAATTGATGTTCGGAAGTAGACGATAGCATATTTAAAAACATGAGTTTAATGCAGTGTTTAATTTGTGTGTTTTCATAGCAGATGAAGAGTATGAAGATGGAATTGAAAGGACGTGTGACACACTGCTAATGTGCATTGTCACTGTCCTGAACCAGGGCCTCAGGAATGGCGGCGGCGTGGGAAACGTTCTGAGAAGGCCATCGAAAGATGTAAGCTGGAGACCAAATATTTTTTTCAAGAAGAATATCATCATTTTTCATAGTTTATTTGTTTAGAGAGAGAGAGAGCACGTAAGCACGAGCAGAGGAGGGGCAGAGAGCAGGAGGGAAAAAAGAATCCCAAGCAGGCTCTGCGCTGTCAGCACTGAGCCCCATGGAGGGCTCAAACTCAGGAACTGTGAGATCATGACCTGCGCTGAAACCAAGAGCTGCATACTTAACCGACTGAGCCACCCAGGCGCCCCGAACATAATCACTTTTTAGACTTTCTTAATAGCATTTACAATATGGTTTTTGTTTTCAGGATACTGTATCATGTCTTTTGCTTTCAAAGTATAACGGTGGCCGTTAAAACCAATTAATTATATACTAGAATTACACAGAGATAGCTAACGTACTAAATAAAAATCTATGTATGTTATGAGAAGTTTCCAAACTTAAACTGTGTATTGTATTACAGCAACGAGATTATGCCTACAAACTTTATCGAGGAGTTAATTGTTACGGAAATAACAGAAACTAGGCTGCTTCTTATCAGTCTTCTCAGGCATGAAGATTGTACTCTTTGTCTCCGAATAGTAATAGCCGCCATTATTTATCCATGATGAATATAAACCTTGAACAAATTCTAACATGATTTCATATTTTAAAATGGCAAGGCTGAAAAATTTCTCATTAGCTGCAAAAATCTCAAGCGTCAGACTGGAGGTTTAAAAAAAAAAATCACAGTTCTCCAATTGGCCAGCCATACCATATTGTCAGTTCATCTAATGGTGCCTCTTCTATGAAGGAGCTGGATCAGTCTCTAATGTGTGTTTTCAGACTGTCCGTCAAATAGAAGTAACCTGGAGCTGTGTGTACTTGACCCTGTGAGGCCAAGAACAAAATCTACTCTAAAAACTGACAAAAAAAAAAAAAAAAAAACATTAGGTCCTCTTAAGCTCCCTAATCACTGACTTTTGGAGTTGCTACTTGTGTACCTTTCATACAGCTTCTGGGAGAGGGTCCCAATGTGCCAAAATACAGTTAGCCGAATGATATAGGGAAGTGGTTTTTAATGAAAGGTACGTCCCTGATTGTTGGGAGGGGTAGAAGTCCTAGAGAATGCACGGGCTTCTGGGACATAGATGTGACATTTATTTCACAGCACTTAAGGAAAAGAATATGAAAGTAGAAAGTGTGTGTCATTTTTCTCCCAACTTGGAGTACTATTTATATTTATTCAGGAAACATTTATCAAATACATTCTCTATGTTAGACAATATGCCAAAGCAACTTGCCTTGAAAATATGTATATATATTGATATACTTTATTTCAGGAGCCCTTGTTTGCTGCCCGAGTGGTGTATGACCTTCTTTTTTACTTCATTGTTATCATCATCGTTCTTAACTTGATTTTTGGTGTTATCATTGATACTTTTGCTGATCTCAGAAGTGAAAAACAGAAAAAGGAAGAAATTCTAAAGACAACATGTTTCATCTGTGGTAAGTGTTCTCAGGATACTAAAATAATAGATGAAGAAACTGTCCTGGAAGAAGGAGGGGCTGGAATGATTTTTATTTGTCATGCTTTGGGAAAAATAATTTCAGAATGAAAGCTGGACAAAAATTATGTAACCGAGCATTGGACTAGGGTTCTCTGCTTATAGAGATTTAGCAGAAATAGAAGAAATTATAGAATAGAAGAATTCTATCCGAAAGCTATGTTGTCATTATTTCTGCAATTTGCATGAATCTCTGACTGTAGAATGTGTTGCAAAATTTCTAAAGGTTACACCAACTGGCAAACAGATTTTTAATCACAATAACATTGATTAAATGACAGAATGATTTTTATTTTATTTTATTAGATTATGAATCTACAGATGATTTTTCTAGCAGCTTGAAATTCTGTTCACTGACTATAGTCTCTCAGTTTTCTCTCTCTCTCTCTCTCTCTCTCTCACACACACACACACACACACACACACACACACAGTACCTCACACCTCGTACTCTCCTCTCCTTCCCCTACTGTTAAGCTCTCTCAGACTCACCCAACTTTCTCCTTGCCTCATGATTCTTTTCGTCTCTACCCTATTCTCAATATACCAAAGCCCTTTCTGGCTTTGGTTGTCTCTGTAACTGGCCTAGCACCCTAGAATCCTTCCCCTTCCTTGAATATCACCAAGTCCAGGTTACCTTCACCATCTATTTTAGCATGCTGAGCTGAAGAATTGTTGCTTAAAGTCACAAAACAAGCGTAACAGCTTCACTACAACATTATTCTCTATAACAAACTGGGCCCTCAGTAAATCCCATTTCCTCCTTGGCTCACTTTTTGTCCACATCTCATTCTCCTCCGTGGGTCTTCCAAAGCTTTCCAGCATTCCTCCAACACTTGGAGGTGTACTAAATAATGAACTGTAACAGTGAACTGTCTTCCAAGGAAACAAACATGAGTTGGATATGGCCCTCTGCAGGGTGCTCACAACCTATTGTGGAACACAAACACAATAGGTATCATTGCTATTTAATGTGTTCAGAGACATAACAGAGAAGTTCACAGGCTCTTATACCCCTTCTGGCTGTGGTAAGGGGCAAAGAAAGAGTGAGGAAAGGCTTCAAGAAGAAATGGTCACTGAACTGTTAGTAAAAAGTGGAAGGTAATTAGCCATATTGAAATGGGTAGAAGCAGAGAGACCAGCATAAGAACAGGCATGGAGGGAAGAACAACACAATGAGAGTCTTCAGTGACTCTCAGGAGCTCAGTGTTGCTGGAGCATGAATCTCAGAGCAGAGCATGCCCAAGGAGGAGATTCACCAGATCATGTGTGGCCTTTTATGTTAAAAAAAAAAAAAAAAAACACTTAGATTTTATCCTGTAGACTTATAGAGGATGCTTAACCATTAAAGAATTTAAGTAGAGGAGTACAGGGTCTAATTTTTGTTTTAGAGCAATAGAGCAGCTGTGAGAGGTGGTTTGCCAGGACACAGTCCAAGTGAAAAGTGATGAAACCTTGATGCAGGAGAGTTAGGTTGGCAGTCGTAAAGGTAGAGGACCGGGTCATGAAATATTTAGAGACAGAATTTTTAAATCTCAGTGGTTAGGAATGGATATGAAAGATAGTTGGGTGCCTGGGTGGCAGGTCATACCAACAGTTGAATTTAAGAAGAAAAGGAGAAGAAACATTTAGAGAGGAATATGCTGAGTTTGGCTTCAGAAATACTGAACTTGCAGCATGCACTGAACACCCCACTGAGACACACCCAGCACAGAGGTCAGCATGGGCCTGAGCCTCAGGGAATGAGCCTCCACTGAAGACAGTAGTTGGGCAATCTTCAGCCCGTGTGTGGAGCAGGAGTGTGGAGAAAGACTTCGGAGGAGGGAGGAGAAGATGGGTCAGCGTGGGATATATTAGCACTGAAGAGTTAGGAGAGAAAGACGGTCACACACACACACACACACACACACACACACACACACACACACACCTGTCCAGTCAGAATGGTGTGAGGAGAACCAGAAATGTGTGGCTTGTGGACATGAGGGGAGGGTACAGGCTCAGGAAGATAGTGACTGATTATCAACCATTTCAAAGCACAGAATGGCCAGAGACATATTAACGCAAGTAGAGCCTTTGGTGACTCAAGATAAAGATGGAGAACTTTCCACAAGGATAAGTTGCACAATGCTGGGGGGAGACTTGCTGGAAGGAAATGAGGCAGAAAGAAGAGCCTTGTCTTTCTATATCTAGATTAGATGGAGGGAAGCAAGATTGGCATGGAGCCAGGGATTGTACTCGATGTACAATAATTTGGGGATTTGGGGAAGAGAAGTGTTATATGGAAGCATGAGTCCCATGGAGGAAAAGAAGACACTGCCCTTGAAAATCTTTCTGTGTGTCACATGATCTTGCTTCCATGATGCTTCATTTAAGCCTTTTTCTTCATGATCATAATTATTATCTCCATACTCAACCTTGGAAGAAAGGGTTCTTTGGAAGGATGTGTCAGGAAGATGTGAGCTTCATTTGAGGACGTGATCCTGTCTCCTGTTTTCTAACCACAAGAAATATAAACAGCAAAACAAGCCCATCACTTAACCACTATTTCTGCTCCTCTCAACTTTCTCTTTGCTGCCAAAATTCTCTTTGGCTTTTCGCAGTTATTAAAGAAACCTATAACCTATATATTCCTTAAAACATCACAATGAGTAACCCTCATTGCCAAATTGAATGGTTCTCAGCTCTCCCCATTAATTTCCTGCTGGCCTTTTCTTCTGCCTTGGATTGTTCATCCTCTGGTTCCATCACAAGGCCAATGTCTTTTCCCAACCACTGGATAAGCAATTTGCACTTTATCATTGACTTCTTGTCTCTTCTGTCTGCCCTCTTCTTTAATACCACCTTTATGCAGATTATTGTCAAATGTGCAACCACAGCTCTAACCTCTCTCCAGGCTTTTATCCTTTGTTTTCGATTATTGACTGACACCTATGCAGGCATGACTTCCTGGCAGCCAAATTTACCGTGTCTAAAAACCAGCACATCCTGACTTCCCATCGGCTTCCTCTGACCTAGCAATGTATCCTGACCTCCACGTTGCAGCTGATGATATCCCACAGTGCTGTCGGTTATCTGGGCTGGGAGCTTCTCCATCATTTTTAGCATCTCCTTTGTGCTGTTCTAGGTGCACTTGTTGCCCTGTGCTAATGAATCTACTCTCCCAGTCTCATTCCCTTCCTCCCACACATCCCACAGCCGCACCTTGATTTTTCAGACTCACCTTGGCTCACACCCAAAAATGTCCTGCTCGATGCTGCCAGATTAATTTTTCCAGTTTGAATTCACCATTTTCTTACTCAAAAGGCTATCAGTAGCATTGCACAGTCTGTAACTTTAACATTCCAAATGTCCTGGCATGTAAGGTGCTCCACAATCAGGCTCCGTCTTTTTTTTTCTTTTTCCACCTTTTCACCCAATGTTCTCCTGTTTATAGCTCCACTTCCAGCCTAACTGCATTACTCATCTTTAATACAGAGACTCTCCACGTGTACTCAGTTATGGTATTTCCATTTGGAATGCCCAAACTCCTTAGCTATTGAACTCCAACCCTCTGTCTAAGACCAGCTCTAATGCCATTATTCCATGAAGCTTTCTCTGATTTCACTACCCAGCAGCAAGCCCTCACATCACACTTAGCTCTGTGGTACTCTACATATTTTTTTCCTTGTCCTATCTCTATTGGATGCCATGCACTATCATATCATAGAAAGGGCATGGACTTTACAGTTCTGTGGAACACTGGTTCCACATCTTGGATATGGGATCTTGGCCAAGTTTACTTTCACCTTGAACTATTGTTCCCTTATCTGGAAAGTAGGGAATATAATGCCATCTTGTGAAGTTTGGGTGAGTATAATTGATATCATGTATGTCAAAATTCCTAGCTCAATGCTTAGCTGAGTAAGCCTTCAGTGCACATTAATTTCCCTTCTTTAAGAGATCCAGATTCATACCTTATTTATTTTTATGCTTCCATAGTATGTATTGGGAACCATTCATAAATATTTGCTGAATGACTATTCAGTAAATCAGCCCAAATTAGCATTATCTCTACTTTTTTAAATTTTTCTTAATGTTTATTTATTTTTGAGACAGTAAGAGAGACAGAGAACAAGCAAGGGAAGGGCAGAGAGAGAGGGAGACACAGAATCTGAAGCAGGCTCCAGGCTGTGAACTGTCAGCATAGAGCCTGATGCAGGGCTTGAGGTCATGAAATATGAGACCATGACCTGAGCCAATGTTGGATGCTTGACCAACTGAGCCATCCAGGCACCTCATATTATCTCTATATTTATGCGACTTATATCCTGCAAAAGGAAGATAAAGTGGGTAAATACTAAACTGACATATTACTATGGACAAAAGCGTGGGTGTATCAATTCCAAGTTATTCTAAATTTTCTCACATTCAGGGTATTGTTTCTGTGGCTTATGCATTCCCACAGAGATAAAGGGTCATCTATCAGGAGGCATAAAGAGATATTAGATCAATATGGTCTATTTTCCAGAAGCTTCACATTTATTCTAAAATTTGAGAGGCCATTTAAGTAATTTAACCTAAGAGTAAATGCAAAGAGTATTTTTTAATGCTTATTTATTTTTGAGAGAGAGAGAGAGAGAGAGAGACAGCATGAGCAGGGGAGGGGCAGAGAGAGTGGGAGACACAGAATCTGAAGCAGGCTCCAGGCTCTGAGCTTCCAGCACAGAGTGTGATACAGGGCTCGAACTCATGAGCCATGAAATCATAACCTAAGCTGAAGTTGAATGCTCAAACGACTGAGCCACCCAGGCACCCCAAGAGTGTTTTTGTATTAGAACAAATAATATGCTATAAAATAAAGCAAATTTAATGTGAACATTTAAAATAATATAGAATTTTTTTAAATTTTGTAATGTAATCCCGAGGAACTTTCAGCTATTAATCCCTGTGACCTCAGTA